ATGGTGATTCTGGAGTTGGGAGCGCGATCGGAAGTGAATTCGGAGGTCCGTAGGTCATTTTGGAGCCATTTGGCTAAAGATAGAAATTTGAAGGTTTTTGAGAAGTTTGACCGGAAGTGGACTTTTTGATATCGGGGTCGAAATTCGATTCCGAAAGTTGCAATAGGTCCGTAATGTTGAATATGACTTGTGTGCAAACTTTGAGGTCAATCGGACTTGATTTGATAGGTTTAAGCATCGAAAGTAGAAGTTGGAAGTTCTAAAGTTCATGAAGCTTGAATCGGGGTGTAATTCATGATTTTCGTGTGATTTGATGTGATTTGAGGCCTCGAGCAAGTCCGTAATGTGTTTTGGGACTGGTTGGTATGATTGGTTGGGGTCCCGGGGGCCTCGGGTGGATTCCGGGTGGTTAACAGATCGAAATTGGGATTTTTTGGGCATCTGAAGGATCTGGTTGCTGGTATTTTCGCTTCTGCGGTGGGTTAACCGCAGAAGCAGCCCCGCAGAAGCGGAAAGGGAGCCGTAGAAGCGGATTTTGGTCAAAGGCTTGAGGACCGCAGATGCGGTCAAGCATCTGCGGAGAAGTGAGCGCAGAAGCGGAAGAGGGCATCTTGGAGAGGACTGCAGATGCGGTCAAAGTTCCGCAGAAGCGGGACCGCATCTGCGGAAGGCATGTCGCAGAAGCGAAGCAGGGCGGCCTAAGGAGGACCGCAGAAGCGGTAATTTGACCGCACCTGCGGAACCGCAGAAGCGGTCAAGGGACCGCAGGTGCGGAAATAGCTGGAGGCAGAAGGTTGTTTTAAAATTGGGATTTGGCCATTTCTCTCATATTTTTCACCGCTTGGGCGATTTTTGGGGAGCTTCAAGAGGGGATTTTCGTCATCAACGTTAAGGTAAGTTATCCCCACCTATTTTGAGTTAAATACATCAACTATGTATGGATTTGAGCATTTAAATTAGTATAAATTTGAGGTTTTGGTGGAAAACCTAAAAAATTAGTAAACTTGTAATTTAGCCACGATATTGAGTATGGAATTTAGTGAAAATTATATATTTGAGTTCCTAAGGTCATGGGTAATCTTTATCTTCGAAAAATTTCGGATTCCGGGCACGTGGGCCCGAGGGCGTTTTGGTCAACTTTTCGATCGGAGTTAGGAATTGCTATAAATTAGATTGTAATGAACAATTGAGCATATATTAATGGATTTGCATAACCGTTGGCTAGTTTTGGAGCGTGATGCATCAATTGGAGTCTTCGGAAGGGCGTGGGATGCCGGTTATGGATCTTCGGAGCGAGGTGAGTCTCCTTTCTAACCTTGTGAGAGGGAAATGTCCCCATAGGTGAATTAATTGGATATTTGCTCCTATTTGTGGGGGGGCTACGTACGCATGAGGTGACGAGAGTCCATGCGTAGCTACTATTATGCTATTGTCCGGGTAGTCTAGGACCCAAAAGCATGCTATACTTTGAATATCTGTATTCTTATGAATAGTTGAAATGCTTAAACCACCTCAAAATAGTAAATGAACTCCTAACAAGATGTAAACCTCATTTTCTTAAATTGTTAAAAGAGAATTAGCTTTTCTTTGAATAATTGCCCCATGTTGGCTCCTCGAATGAGTGTCTCTATGTGTTTATTTTGGAACGGGCCGAACGCCTCGGCAGATTAAATAGATGTATCTATAGGCGCGCCGTCGACCACCCTCGGCAAGTGCACAGTTTACATTTCTGTTGGATTGGGCCGTCGCCTCGGCATGATATGCGCATGCTTGTATTGCTGCCTTGAACTTAAGTAAGTTATTATTGCCTCTTCAGGGCTTGAAATTATTTGGATAATTACGAAAAAGGAATTTTGCAAATTTTCTATGAAAGAATTAATTGTTTATTTGTTTCCTCCTATTTGGATAAAAATCATGCTTATAGAAATCATAATTTAGTGTATTACTGACCTCACTATTGGACCATTAGTAAGTGTCGAAGTCGACCATCTCGTCTCTACTTCTTCGAGGTTAGGCGGGATACTCATTGAGTACCGTTGTTTTCGTACTCATACTACACTTCTGTGCATTTTTGTTGCACAGGTATATGTAACTTTTGTGGCCTACTGGGCGTAGCAACACGCATGATTTGGGTGCTAGGTGAGTTGCATTATTCGAGGCGGCCTGCAGCTAGTATAGCCCTTTTCAGTACATTGTATTTATTTCCTATCCACTGTATTCCGGACAGATGTTGTATTTTATTTCCTTATCAGTAGATGCTCATGCACTTGTGACGCCGGGTTCTGGGATGGTTGTAGGACTATTAAATATCTACTTGGTTAAAGACATTATTCTTATTTCAATAAATTCCATTACTTGTTGTCTAAATGTATAAAAGGAACGATTCCCTTAAGTTTAAAACAAGAAGTTTCTAGTTATTGGTTGTTGGCTTGCCTGACAATGGTGTCCAGCGCCATCACGACCCTTAGTGGATTTTGGGTCGTGACATGGCAAGCCACTTCAAATATGATATTGAATTTCATTGCCTTAGGCTGGGTACGAGTTTCTCCTCTAATATTTTTGAAAGAGAAAAAGACGCAAAGATAAAGGATCTAGAGGATTGCAGTTGATAAGCTAGCCAGATTGTGCAAAAGTTGAATACGATAGGAGCACACGCTGAGTGTTGACCATTGACAGTCATTAAAAAGCTTTGAAATCGAATTTGGATTTTCAAAAGTCACTACTTTTTTGGATTGGGTGTTGTTGTAAACAATTTAGAGTATTATTTGGAGTTTATATCTCAATTTTGAAGGTGTTTGGTGAAGATTATACTTGATTTTGACTGAATTTCAGATTGAAACTCGAAGAAGAAGAAGAAGAATAACACTTGACATACCATGTACTTACGAAATTGTAGAAAAGTTGTCGTATAATTATATGTGTATAACTACAACAGAATATATATATATATATATATATATATATATATATATATATATATATATCTTGAATAGTCATTAATAAATGAGATAAAATATCTGTATGTATGATCTCAAGCAATTGAGAACTCCTTTTGACACCTTTAATTGATTTGTTGGTCTGCTTACGCTTTATGCAGTCCACACAAGTCCCAAAGTAAAAAAAGAATCAAGAGATTTTAGAACTCCATCTTTAACCAACCTTTTGACTCTTTCAATAGAGATGTATCCCAATCTCTCGTGCCAAAGACTTGATGAGTTCTCATTGATAATACATTGCTTAATGCCAATTTCTTTGTCATGCAAAGTTAAAATATTGCATTCAAATGTGGGGACTAGCTCAAGTTTATATAAATTTTCATTCAAATTTCCAAAACTATTAACTTTATTATCTTTCAAAAGTTTCACAGAAGGATAATAAAAATTCAAATCATATCCACTAATAGATAGTCTTGAAAGAGAAAATAAATTTCTACAATAGTCTAGAACATAAAAAGTATTTTCTAAAGCTAAGTGAAAACCATCTTTCAAAATGAGCCTATAAGTCCCCCCGCCTTCCACACGTGAACGCGTCCTATTGCCAGAATAGACATATTGTTCACTTCCTATCGGCTTCCTCTGAGTTTGATAGCCCTGCCGGATTTTGGCAATGTAAATTGTAGCACCAGAATCAATCCACCATGTATTATCAGAAACTTCAGTAAAATTTGATTCATAACATACAAATGTAAAATTACCTTTCTTCTCAGGCCATTTCTTGTCTTTCAGGCAATCTTTCTTCCAGTGTCCCTTCTTTTTACAGAAACGGCAAGCATCTTTGTACAGAAACGGTAAGCATCTTTCTTCTTCATAGGAACACGTTTACCCTTCTTTGCATTCTCTTACCATAAGTCACCATATTAATATTTTCAGTTGTCCAAATACTTCAACCTCTCTTCTTCTTGAACACAAATAGTCAAGAGTTCATTGGCTGACCATTTATCCTTATGTGTGTTATAAGAAATCTTAAACGGAGCATATTCCGTAGGAAGTGAGTTGATAATGAAATGCACAAGAAATGGTTCAGACATATCAACCTCAATGGATTTGAGTTTAGTAGCAATGTCTCTCGTCTCCATAATGTCCTCACGCACTGTACGATTTCTGTCAAAAATCATGCTTGAGAGCCTCTTCATAATGGTGTTGGCCAATGCCTTGTCAGAGCTTACGAATTGTTCATCAATTGCCTTCATGTATGTGACGACCCAAAATACACTAACGGTCATGATGGCGCCAGACACCACTGCCAGGCAAGCCAATACCAAATAACTTGTGATTTCTCGTTCTAGATATTTCTGAAATCATTTCCTTGAGAAGT